TCTCTCTCTCTCTCTCTCTCTCTCTCTCTCTCTCTCTCTCTCTCTCTCTCTCTCTCTCTCTCTCAAACACACACACACAAGTGCGCTGTCCGCGCGTCGGCGAGGACGCAGCGGCGGCAGCGCACACACACATCTGTCAGTCTTTTCTTCAGTTGTTTGTCCTCTTTCCGATTTTTTCCAAGTTTTTTTGTGTCCCCGACTGAGCACCCTTAGGTAGTGCCAAACAGTCGGTGGCTCCTCGTTTGGAGTGCCAACTGCACTCTTAGGGGGGCCGCTCGGTTCGGGATGTCTGTGTTGGCTGTAGGTGATGACGGATGCTCGGCGGAGTGTCTCCCTGGCTCAGTGGGTGGTGGGAACCAACAGTTTGTGGGGTTCACCCGTGATGTGAGTAGGTGATGTGCTGCTTTGCTCCGTGTTGGATGTGTGGACGACCCCGTCTGTGCTCCACTACTGCCTTGCTGCCCGTTCCGCTTGCCTCGCAGGCCGTTCTTGGCATGCTGCTGTCTTCGCTGTGTGGTGTGGCCGGGTTGTGGTGTTGCCTTGCGCTTCGCTGCCTTGCCGCCCGCCCGCTGGTCGTGCCTTCCGGGTCCTTTGCTTGAGCGCCCTGTAGTTTGGTTGCCGTGTTGGGGTTGCCTTGGGCCCCTCAGCATGGTCGCTCTGCTGCTGGTCCACTTGCCCTCTTGTCCCTTGCAGTGTGGTTGTCTTGGTAGTGCGGCCTGGTGCTTCACTGCTTGGGTGCCCGGCTGCGAGTTCGGCGTGCCGTGTCGTTCCTTGCAGTCATTTTTGGCGTTGTGCAGTCGTGTTGCCTCTACTGCGCTGCCCTGTGCTCCGCAGGGTTGCTCCCCGCTGCCATGTTCCGCTTGCGGCGCTTGGKGACAGTCTGCCTTCAACAAGGGTCAAAGGGTTCATGACCCAAACCATCAAATCCGGGATTCCGCAGATTGTCGAGGGTTCAGCCTCCTGATGAGTAGGTGRAACTCCGACGAAACAATTTTTCATCCTCTATGWATTATTTATTATTTATTATTATATGTTTTTTCAGTTTGCATTGTCGTTGTTTGTRWTGTTGYTGTTTCCCTCGCTGCCTTGCGTTGTTTGCTTGCCCATCCGTCTACCCCATGCTTTTCACCCAGTGTGCTTTGTTGTTGTGTGCCGTTTGCCTGCCC